CAGAGCTTCAAGGTCATTTTCTAACTCCCCTCAAAGTTTTCAGGAGCCACTTCTGAAGGGGTTGGTGGCTGAGGCTAGGAGAAAGAAACAGCTCACAACTGAGGAATCAGATGGAGGTGTAGTGTGAACCAGTACCAGATACCTTTTGGGGAACATTAGCAATGAACCACATGCCTCTGGGGGCTTGTGTGTGTGTGTGTGTACACACGCCATTTCGCCCAGGCTGGTCTTGAACTCCTGGGCTCAAGTGATCCTCCTTAGCCCCGCAAAGTGCTGGAATGACAGGTGTGAGCCACCGTGCCCAGCCTGTTGTGTATTTTGCTTCTAAGCTTGGCTTGGCCCACCTCCAGTTTCCAGGACAGCAGAACACATCTGTGAGGGTGAATTGAGTGTCATAGACACCATGGAAGGAGGAAAAGCAGGAATTTGAAATCAGTCAATATAAGTAAGAATAATCTGTGCCTGAACTGGAATACTACTAGCTCAGCCCTTACCAGCAGTGACCTTGGGCAAGTTACTTAATCTTTAAGATTTATCATTTATAAGATGGAGATTAAAAGGTCGTTAGGATTAAATGAGCTAATATTTTAAAATACTGAGAATCTAACAGGGAATAAGTGCTATATTCTTGGTTAAATGTCTGCTCTATGTAAAAGTAATCGTCAGCTCCATGTAGCATTTAGTGGTGCTCTTCTGTGTACTGGCACTCTGACTCTCTGAAGATACAGTGATAACAAAACACTTCCTTGCAGGAACTTACAGTCTGGAAGGAACACAAGCAAATGACAGAATGCGGTAAGTTACAACTGGTGAGCCACAGAAGAGACACTGAAGGGGCATGAGAAGGCCATCCAGCCTGGAGGAAGGGAGGTCTAGACAGTCCTCAAGGACCAGTGACCAACAGTAGAAATTAAATTTACTAGAGCTAACTGGTGGGGAGGGAAGGCATTTCAGGCCAAGGAAGCAGAAAAAGCAAAGTCCAAAATCTGTTCGAAAGCACATTCTGAAAACTGCTAATACAGAGAACGAGAAAGGCAAGATAAATCTGGAAATGCTGTGTGGTTTAGACATGTAGGAAGGAAATCAGAGTAAGCTTGAAATTTTCCCCCAACTTCTGTCCTCCCCTTTTGCTAAGTAGCATAACTGCAATTACAGTGATAAATGTCCACTGGTAAGGTTTATTACATAATTCAAACTGCTATCTTTTTTTTTTTTTTTTTTTTGAGATGGGGTCTGGCTCTATCGCCTAGGCTGGAGTGCAGTGGCAGGATCTTGGCTCACTGTGAGCTCCGCCTCCTGGGCTCAAGCCATCCTCCCACCTCAGCCTCCCAAGTAACTGGGACTACACCATGCCTGGCTGATTTTTATATTTTTAGTAGAGACGGGGTTTTGCCATGTTGCCCAGGCTGGTCTCGAGCTCCTGGCCTCAAGTGATCTGCCTGCCTTGGCCTCCTGAAGTGCTGGGATTACAGGCGGGGGCCACTGCTCCTGGCTATCCTATTTTCAGAAAACACGTACACAGTACGTAAAGGGCTAGGTCTGTTAATTTTAATATTCTAGGATTGAGTTTCCATCATTACAACTGTTGTCTATAATGTGCCCTTTAGGAAACTCTTTTTCTGT